GAAAACAGGATATAGAACTATAGGAATTAAACTTTACCCTGAAAAGCTTGGCATCTTCCCAATCAACACAAAGGTGGACATAATTGTGTTTTCATAAAGTAATTTTTATCCTAACCTCCTTTGAAAACAAAATAAAGTGAGCACCAAATCCTGCTTCATTCTCATCCTTTGTCAGGATATCATTTTTATCTGAGATCACAATTGAATGTGAGTTGTTTAAAATGTTCACAAATTAGGTGAATTCCCTGGAACTGGAATGTACAAACTAATACATTTACCTCTACATGACATCTGGGAAATAAAGGAAAGCTCCATGGCCATATACGGTCACTTTCCAATCCTCACAGGAGAGTGAGATTAGAACAAATGCCTCCTTCCATGAAATAGCCAATTGAGCTATTTTCCCACTCAGCCACCTGGACTTCTGTCTGAATTATCAGATAGAAAAGTTATCTTGGGGCCAGGCGTGGTGGCTCACAACTGTAATCCCAGCACTTTGGGAGGCTGAGGCAGGAGGATCACCTGAGGTCAGGAATTCCTTCTCTGAGACCAGCCCGGCCAACATGGTGAAACCCCGTCTGTACTAAAAATAGAAAAGTTAGTCAGGTGTGGTGGCACACCCTGTAATCCTAGCTACTTGGGAAGCTGAAGCAAGAGAATCACTTGAACCTGGGAGGTGGAGTTTGCAGTGAGCTGTGATTGCACCATTGCACTCGAGCCTGGGTGACAGAGTGACGCTCTGTCTCAAAAAACAAACAAAAATAAAAAAGAAAAGTTACCGTGACTTCTTATAGACATGCAGCCTGAGACGTGCTTGTGACATTTTGTCTTTCTGCCTCATCAGGATGACAGCTGTCAAGAAAAGAGGACAAGTCTCAAAAGAGCAAGGTTTCATTTTTTTTTTTTTTTTTTTTTTTTGAGACAGAGTTTCACTCATGTTACCCAGGCTGGAGTGCAATGGCACGATCTCAGCTCACCGCAACCTCCGCCTCCTGGGTTCAAGCAATTCTCCTGCCTCAGCCTCCCGAGTAGCTGGGACTACAGGCATGCGCCACCATGCCCAGCTAATTTTTTGTATTTTTAGTAGAGACGGGGTTTCACCATGTTGACCAGGATGGTCTCGATCTCTTGACCTCGTGATCCACCCGCCTCGGCCTTCCAAAGCGCTGGGATTACAGGCTTGAGCCACCGCGCCCGGCCCTTTTTTTTTTTTTTTAAGCTGGTGTATTACATAATTATGGGTGCTGTTGCTACTGCAGATATCAGACAATTCTTTTTCTTCTCTCTTTTTTTTGAGATGGAGTTTTGCTCTTATTGCCCAGGCTGGAGTGCAATGGCACAATCCTGGCTCACCACAATCTCCACCTCCAGGGTTCAAGCAATTTTCCTGCCTCAGCCTCCTGAGTAGCTGGGACTACAGGCATGCGCCACCACACCCGGCTAATTTTGTATTTTTAGTAGAGGTGAGGTTTCTCCATGTTGGTCAGGCTGGTCTTGAACTCCCGACCTCAGGTGATCTGCTCACCTCAGCCTCTCAAAGCGCTGGGATTATAGGCATGAGCCACTGCACTTGGCCTCAGATGATTCTTAAACATATCATTGAATTCTTAAATGGTTAAGAAGCATGTACATTTTATTAATGTGTATGCAGCATTGGGCTAGGCTCTGTGAAGTCAGGAAAACAAATAAACCCCATGGGCCTTGCCCCAAAAAGCTTATATCCCTGAAAAACATGCACAACGACTAGAGAAAAAGGCCGGATTATTACATACACTTAGAAAATGTCCAGAGCACAATATAAAAGTAAGTATTCTATGATGAATGCGTTTGGAATGACAGATTCTAAAGGAGGGACAGGGACACACTGTCCTAGTAGGAGACACAGCATCAATATCACGTCCTACAAGGACTGGACAATGTGAGGCGAGTGCCGGGCTATAAATAGAATATGACAGAGAATTTACCGTATATACTGGATTTACTCAGGCCAAGAGATACTGATGACATAAAGGAGCACAAGCATGCACAAATAGATGACGGGCATTATGTATAAACAATAGAGCAAGTAGATCTTGTGGGCAGAAATAAAGGGAGAAATGTTTCCTTCCATAGAAGGGCAGGATGGTGCAGCAGGAAGAATAATAGCTTTGGTGTCAGACAAACTGGGATTCAAATCCTAGCTCTTTGACTACCTGTGTGAAACTGGGCCAGTTATCTGATCTCTGCAAACCTTGTTTTCCCCATATAGTGCTACTAGCTTGTGCAGCTGTTATTAGTATTAAATTGAATGCTACATTAAGCATCCAGCAGAAGCAGCATTCAACAAGTGATATCTCTTGTTGCTGTTTGTGCATTTCTTTTTTAATATTTTTTTTAAGAGACAGGGTTTCACCATGTTGGCCAGGTTGGTCTTGAACTGCTGATCTCAGGTGATCCGCCCGCCTCGGCCTCCCAAAGTGCTGGGATTACAAGTGTGAGCCACCACGCCCGACCTGTGTATTTCTTAAAGCATCACACTCTATTATTGTGTCTGTCTCCCCAATAGATTGTGAGCTTCTCAAAGAAAGGATTGTGCCTAATGGTCTTGGCGTTTTGAATTTCTAGTATACTATCTGATTCATGGTAGATTCTCAGTAAATGTTGGCATAATAACGAAAACTGTACATTTAGGTAATAATGATGGTTTAATGAATACTTACTTTGTGCCCAGCTAGGAGCATTTAATGAATCACCTTATCTAATCCTCACGATAATCCTTTGATTTTAATTATGAACATCCCATACAAGTGATCAAGGATATGGAAGCTTAGAAATCTGCCCACTCATACAGCTGGTAAGTGGGGAGCCCTGACCTCAGCCAGGCTGGAATCGGGAGGCTGTGCTGAACCAGCAAAGTGGAGAACTGCTCTCCTGTATTCGCCGACCAGAGAGAGTCCCATGGATAGACCAATAGGAGTTTCAGAAGCTGCCTGAGTACCAAAAAGGGAGAGAATTCGTGAGAGGGGTAAGAGCATTCCAGGCATAGACCACAGCTTCAGAGACAGCTCTGATGTGTGACGGAGGTTGGGATGGGGGTTTTCAAAGGAGGATTGTTGGAGGCACAGGCAAAACAAAGACAGACTGAGCTTGGGGTTTCCCTCAACCACAGGGGTGTGGAAGTCGTGGAGCCCATGTCGTGTGCAGGTGAACGTAGAGAAGAATCTCCATACACAGCTCTTGCAGCAGCTGGAACGGGAACTGCTGGGGCCCAGAAGCCCAGAAACAGAACCACAGATGGCATAGAGTCAGAAGCGCTTCTGGGGAGCAGGCTGGGGGCTCACAGTGCTGCATTGCTGGGAGGGGACTGAAGGAAAAACACCGTATTTGACAACAGACTGCAGGCAGCATCGGTTACTCTTCAACAACAGGGGTACGGGGTAGTAAACAGTCAGTGCTTAATGCAGTGGTTATAAGTGGGGTTCTTGCAGCTGGGACACCTAGGGTCACTTACAGGCTCCCAGCTGTGTGATCTTAGCAAAATGATTTAACCCCTCTGGGTCTCTATGCCCCTTCTCTCTCAAACAGGGATGGTCTGTTTCCTAGCTTTACTGTGAGTGCGAAATGAATGAATACTTGTGGAACACATGTTATCTCTGATGGCTGTGGAATTTAAAAGAAAAAGAGATGAGATCTCATGAGATCAAAAGCGTTTTGCTTAGAAGCCATGTTTCCTTGGCTTTTTCTTCCAGTCTTTGCTGGTTCAGAACTCACGCCCTCTAAGTTTTATACAGAATTTGCTGTTTTCTGAAGAATTATTATGAACTAGGTTCAAGGTCCTTAATTTTAGCTGCTGACAGGAAATGGCCACGTCCTGTTGACCCCTCCAAGTTAATAGGTCTGACATCAAACATATCCAGCTGTCTCCGATCGTCCTCCCTAACGTCAAAAGGCAGTACTGGTTTCCCAGTCCTCCAGGTGCAAAACCTTGAACTCAATTTTAATTTCATTCCTTCTCCTCTTCGACGTCAAACTTATGATTAGATCTTGCTCCTTCTTTCATTGCAATGTTTTAGACGTGGTCTTCTAATAACTTACCTGTCTCTACTTCCACCCTAGTGCCAAATTAATGATCAACCGATTTATTCAGGATACCACTTAAATCGCTTATCTCCCTTTGTCAAGAACTTTCAGTAGTTCTTCTCCGAGTGACAGAGCGAATTCAAACGCCTGGATTTGTGATTTGAAGGCTGTACTTCAACCTGCCCCTCCACAAATTCTCTGCTGGGGGATGATGACCTGAATCCACCCGGCTCGGCCCTCCACCCTGCTTCGCCGCTGCCTGATGAAATCCCATGCCTTCCAGAAGAACCGGGTGGATTCCCGCCATTCCACCCGAAGCTTTCGCCTCCAGTTTCTCCAGCCCTAAGGTCCTTGATGACTTGGGGCCCTCACCTGACACTGGCTTGTGTTGGACACTGGCGACTTTGCCTCGGAAGGTGGGACACTTTCCTGGAGAACCTCCACAGTGCGGAGCACGGGATCAGGCAATCAAAAACACGCGGAATGAAGGGCTGGATGAGCGCAGGAACGTGCTCGTGGCTCGGTCCTTTGGCTCACTCCCAGCTCCCACCCGGTCTTCCAGCCCGGGACTAGCGAATTGGACCCCGGACGCCGCCGAGCGGCGGTGGTGTGGGCGCCGTTTCTGAATCCGGAGCGTTTCCACGTCGCGGTCTCTCCACCGCCCAACCCTAACCCGAGGACCACGGTGCCAGTGCGGCGCTCTGCTCCCCATCCCGGAGGCGCCGTTCGGTGCGAGCCGGGCTGGTGTCGGGAATCGCAGGCACCGGCGCCCCAGGCCCCGCCGCCGATAAGGCGGGAGGTTCGGCGTCGCCCCTTGCCCTCCCCCTCGCGGCCATTGGGCTGCCCCGCGGCTCGCCTGCTGGACGGGGCGGGGCCCTCCCCTCTCCTCGCGGCTCTCCTCCCCTATTTCCCGGGGTGGGAACGCCGGGAGGCGGGAGGCAAGGGGGCTGCCAGGGGCGTCGTGTTACATCCCCGCCTTCCTCTGCTCCGGCCGTGGGACTGGGTTTGCGGGAGCGCAGTTCGGGAACATGTTGGCCGCGAGTAGCCGGAGCCGGGCTGCGTGGACGCGGGCGCTGCTGCTGCCGCTGCTGCTGGCGGGGCCCGGGGGCTGCCTGAGCCGCCAGGAGCTCTTTCCCTTCGGCCCGGCACACGGGGACCTGGAGCTGGAGGACGGGGACGACCTGGTCTCCCCGGCCCTGGAGCTGAGTGGGGTGCTCCGCTTCTACGACAGATCCGACATCGGCTCTGTCTACGTGAGTGCGCTCGGGGAGGGAGGCCGAGGGGCTGGAGGGCGCGGCTGGCCGGGGGCGCCCGCGGAGCCGGACGGACGTGGGCGTCGCAGGCGGGGAGTGGGACCCGCTGGCCGCCAGGGCAACGGGCTCTGCGCAGGGTCTCCTGCCTCTGCTGGGTCCGCGGAGGTCTCCCCGACCCGGTCCCTGCCATACGAAGAGCGGGTCGCGGGGTTAGGGACGGCGCCGGCTCGCAGGGTCTTGGGAGGCTCCGCGTGCGCCCGGCCGTGACCCCCGCACCCCGGGACCCTGCGGAGCTTCCTTTTGGGCTGCTGTGGGCTGCATCGCGTCAGGGAGGTCGGTCCGCCTCCCTCGGTTATCCCGACCCTTCGGGGCTAGGACCCAGGCTTGAGCGCGGAGCCTCCACAGAGCTAGAGCCGGAGCTGGGTTGCAACCGGCGTGCGGGCCCCGGGACTCCTGTGGCTGCCGGCGGGGAGAAAAAGTGGCCAAACCCCGCTCTCCGCCAGGAGAGTTTCGCCGGCAGCCTCCGGTATTTGTGTGTGGACTCCGGATGTGTCTTGGCAGTGATGCTGCTTTCCAGTTGGGCTCGTTTCAGAGTCCAGAGTCTAGAGTGGGGAACACAGGGGGCCCAGTGATCCAATTTCCTGTGGCCGGGCATTGGTTACCACCGAGGCTCCAAACCAGGAGGGGGGCCAGATGACCTACAGCTCCCTGGAGCCTCTCCAGAACTGGCCGGGCCTGGCGGCGCTGTCAACTTGTTGAAGTCCTTTCGTGCCGCTGCCTTCCTCGGCCGCGCACCATGTGGATTTCATATAAGGCTTGTGTGCATTCCAGGAGTGGGGGAGAGGGGGGTTGGAACTGCACACGCAGCGGCTGCAGCCTGTCCTCCCCGTGAAATGGCTGTGCTCCCAGTCTGGCCTGGGCACACTGCGCCTTAGACAACACTCACGTGGAGCTTGTCGGCTTTGCCTAAAACGAATGGGCTTTTAAAGTCCGGATGCACAACGAGCCCTCACCCTTGTTGGTTGACTGCCCTGGCCCCTTTGGACAGTCTGGTGAAGTCTATAGACCCCTTTTCAGTATAATGCTTTTATTTTAGCGTTTAAAGAGAGATGAGATCTTGCTATGTTGCCCTGGCTGGAGTGCAGTGGCGCGATCTTGGCTCACTGCAGCTTCCAACTCCTTGGCTCAAGCTATCCTGTGGCTTGAGCCAAGGAAGAAAATTGTGTTGAAATACAGATCAAAATATTAAAAATCACACATCTTACATAGTATATATGCTTACTCTTTTTTTTTTTTTTT